TGATTGACAAGGAATATGATAGAATATGATAATAGGCTGATCGGGTTCAAAACCCAAGAAGACTTTATTGGGTGGCAGATGAGGGAGTCAAGCTTTTATAGAGCCGTCATCGTTGAGGCTAGCCAACACGTTTTATCGCACTTTCATGGCCAGTCATGGGAAAGCTACCCCGTATGACATAACTAACCGGTCGGATAGGATAGGAGTTTATAAAAGTGACTTTATGAGTGCAAAATATATTGGTATCAAGAAGACCTAAAGAATGAATGCGAATATGACTTATTTTACTTCACTTAACCCACTTGAATGACCACGCACTAAGAAATTGGGAATATAAAGCAAGTTTAAGGATGAGAATGCAGAGCTACAATTTGAGGGCAAAGAGGTGGGGAGAAATGCCGCAATAGTTAAACATAAAATCGGTTACAATGATTGCTTTCACGTGTCCCTTAGATTAGTTTTAACTCGTAGCATAGACTAGCTCTTCTCACTGCTGATGTTCGTGAGACGCATGTAAACGAATCAAATTAACGATTAGACGATTAATATTATCATGACTTATACGGCGGAAGTCACAGTAATTGATACTTTCGAAAAGGCCTTCTTGTTATCCCAAACATGTCTTGAGAACAAGGCCACATCAAGTCAAAATGGCTAACGAAAAGCCTGCGACAGGCCATTAGGCCACACTATCCTGGTATTCATATATATGCTTTCATATTATATAAATTTAAATGAATATCTATGCACCACAAATATTTACTTCATTCTTTTTACACAATTTGTATATAGGTATTTCATTTTTTTCTCTACCAATTAAGGTTAGAACTACTTCGACTCAGAAGTAAATTTAATTTATTTACCTGATTCGTTTACCATAGAGTTAAGGAACTAGAGAATAAATAGCTAGACACGAACATTTAAAAAAGTTTCAGATAATACAGTTATGGTTTATTCACCAGGTAAACTAAACTGATTTCGAAGAGATATATTTATCAATAAAGCTACTGTAACTAGATTATTCAATCTATATAATTTAAGTTACTAAGTCATTTAGCAAATGAGTGGAAAGTAGATGTCACTTTCAAGGCAGATCAAGCCACTCGCAATAAAAAATCTCTGTTTTCCGTCTTGTCAATGGGTCATAAAAATGCTTCATCGCTTCTATGAAATATATATATATATATGTGTGTGTGTATATAAAAGTGGTCTTCACCAAATCAATGAGGCCTATGGTAAGAGCAAAATTGTTTCTAAAGTTGTGTGCCAGAATCTCCATAAATGTGTTATATTTCAAGAAATATCTTTAAAATCTAGGTCGCCAAATTTTTGCAATATAATTGATTAAATATACCTATTCAAATAGGCATTATGCTTTTGTCAAAAGTGCAATCAGGCTTTGCAGAAATAAGTAAAATAGTGTCATTAAATATAAGATTGTTATGGTCAAAAAAACAAATTTCAGTATCTTCTTATAAAACATTTTCTTGTTAAGAGATAGTGTTCTTTAATGTGATATATTTGTCGCAACTTACTAGGAGCGACAGCGTGACCTCGTGGAACGTACCTAGTCCTGTTTTATCTGCGTTATTTCCAACATCGGACCGTTTACTTGGAGGAATCTTAGAAGCTTTGCCAGTATTGTAGTCAATTAGACGCGTCATTATTAGCTCAGAGTTCCAACTTATTAAAATGGCAAATGAAGTCAATCCCCTTGAGCAATTTTCTGCTCAACCGTTGTGGCATCAGTCCTCGTCTCTTTTTTTTGTCCTACCTTCTAGAGCTAAATATCGTTCTCCCAACCCCACTTCATACTAGCAATTCATCTAGTTTCCACAAGTCTCACCTAAGAATGTTTAGCTTCAAACGGATTTTGAGAGGCGCAATCACCTTCATCACTCGTTTTCCATACCGTTTGCAATGCTTCCGACTTTCATTTAGCCCGGCTGCTTGTTTTCACTGCCCTTTATTGCTTTTTCTCCTTAGATTTTGGTGTACAATGACTGTACATCAGAGCTCACCAATAGTTCCCCTCCTTCCAAACTGACTTTTTTGAGTATTTGGCAAAATTGGTATGAATTCTTTAATCTAAATGTTCACTTGTCATTCACTTTTTTAATTTTAGGCATAAAAATTTCTCCATTTTATGTGCTGCACCGTGTTTGTTGTTAACTAACAGTCTCAATGATTCTCCTTATTCTTACACTTTCACGAAACCATATGCTACTGGGGCCCTTGCATCCTTTTATGGGTGAATTTATTGTCTCCTTACTTATTCTCTGTTTGTAATCATTTTCTCCAGCATTTCTTGCAATTCTCATTAGATTTGAATTGTTGCGTATTTTAGTATCAGTCGATAAATTGTTGTCTCTCCGCGAAGATTTTTTATCTCCTCTGTATATCCTTTATTGTCCATCACTACTAGGGCACTTTCTTTGTCGGCTTATAGAATTATTTGATCGTTTCTTTCCAATCTTGCAAATATATTGGTAATATTGTTCCTATTCGTGGGTTTATGATGCACCAAAATTTTTCAGATGATTTTCACCGACAGCTCTACTTTGGGTCTTCCGGTAGCTACTGCAAGGTGTTTATCACTTCGAAGAAATGTTCTTGATTGCCTTTTTTTTATTCTGAAGTGGAAAATTTAATCTCTCCTTAAGAATCACCAAGGGTCCAATACTTTATCTTGATCTCTTGTCTGGACTGTGACATACGTCATTCCGAAGGCATCATCGTATTTTCCGGTTGGTTTGTCTTTCAACTGCATATGGATTCCATATTTGTTCAGCTTCAGCCTTTGCCTTTTTTCACTCAAGTCCAAAATCTTTCTAGAAATTTTGCTTCTCAACTTCTGTAATTTCAGGAAATCCTCCAGAGTTAGAATCCGACTCAAATCATATCTGTGCCTATACTAACTTCGAAAAACGTAAATATTCTTCTCCTATCTATATGATATGTCTTCACTAATTTTTCCTGAGAACGTTTACAACAGTTAAGTCATGTCTAGTAAAAAAATTGATCTGCTATTATCTTTTTGGATCTACTATAATCAGTGCATCGTCTGACAATCTCACTACTGTAGTTGGATCGTAGCTATAAAGACCAAAATGGCATGGTCTTCTGTTTGGTCGCAGTCTCCTCTGGCTGTATAGTCGCCTAGGTCTCATCAACCCACAGCGGCACTCTAACCCAAGTAGTTAAGTTTATAGTCTCGACCTGTTAACCCCTAAGTTATAATGCCTCAAATGCCCTTGTATGACAGGGCAGAATTTTAAATCATGCAATTTCAGACCTTTGATGTATCACATCACTTTGATGGTAGTGTCGACCAAGCAAGGCTATTTGAAATTCAATAGAGATATGATTCCTACATATATCCTTGTGTGAAACTTCGACCACCAGTTCTGTATTATCTTGAACTAAATGTGATTAATACAACTATTATATAAGATCTAATCGTTCTCTCAAAACCCTATTCATAAAATTGAAAATTTGTAATGTAGTCAATTGCTATAGCAAATACAAACTTGTTTCATCGACAATCACACTCGAAAAATGTGATATTTGAAAGAACTCGCCTGTGGTCTAAGAGTACCCATGGCAGTCTGGTATATCATTCAAGCTAATAAGACTTTACACAGCGTGCCCGGATTCAAGTCGTGTTGAGGTAGCTGATGAGATCCAGGTGAGGTCGAAACTTTTGTTCAAACTGGATGAGAATACTTTTTGGTGAATAAGGCCATGTGGAATTCACTGGAGGTATGGGGCCTAACGCTATCGATGTGAGATAATCTTACTCGAAAAAGGAGCTATACAACTCTTAAAAAGAATTTAAATAGTTATGAGATGCCGGAATATTCAATATTTCGACGTAGCCAGAATAGAACGTAATGGTGATGGCTATTTTCGTGTTAGTCACTCTGATCGGTAATCCTTTACTTAGCAGTAATACTATTAAACACAGCTTTAATAAATTTTTCGAACATAAGTAATCGTAATATTCTTTATCGGATACCTAATATCACTTATTAAAACTTACCACAAGCATTTTAATTATGATAACCACTAGTTATTAGTGAGAGAAAGCATAAATATTCTTAATGTTTACGTTGATGCCAAGCCTTTTTAAGGCAAATATAAGTTGCTTCGCATCTCAAACGAAATCCCATTATTGTAGAGGTTTAGCGACTACAAAATAACGAAACAGCTACACTGAAGGCTCACATGAGGGCGTTTACCTGATATTTTTCAAAAACACAGCGGTGCTTTGTTGTAATTGCCAAGAGCGTTACATATTGCGAAAAAAACAGTCTTTTGATGATGCCCTTCCACGATTTGATAGTTAGGATTTATAGCAAAATTTTTTATGTTTATATAATTTTACATCAATCATCATCCATTGTCACCAACCAGAATCCAGTATTTCTAGACCAATCGGAGTGTAACACACAGTTTGACCAATTAGAATAGGGCTTATCAATGCTCTTCGCCTATGCTTTCCGCTTTTCAGCTTATCGAGTTTCAGTATTCCAGGAGTTCTAATTCGAGTAGCTGTTAAACTTAGGAGCATTATACTTTTCAGAGCAGGAAGGATCCTTTCCATCTATCAGGATTATATAAAATGATTACTTTTTTTGCGTGATCGCGATTGACACCTGTCTGTTCAACAAGGCGTAGTCAGGCGTTTGACCAGTGTAGAGCAGATTTGACAGACGAACAAGGCAAATTTGTGCACGGTTGACACAATTTCTGGCTATAAAACGAGATTTTTAATTTTTATTTAATCGTTGCCTCTCATTTTAACTTGAAATGACCTGCCAACAAACCAACCTTATAGGCCGCCTTTATCTAACATATAAGAGAATATGTGATGTTCTTGAATTCTGTTAGTTTGCCTGCTTGTCAATCAGCATGCAAATGTTAGTTAAGATAGCAGGTTAATGGGTTTTAACAAGTTCTGCACTGATAGCCATTTGTGTCTTACTTCTCAGGCCGAAATGGCCCAGTTGGAGCGCAGCGAACTCAGTCTTCTGTCGCCGAACGATTCGACATTACTTGACGAAGAATCTATAATTGCCGCCAAGTTGAGCATGCTTTCTGGAGACCAGGAAAAGAACTCCGATAATGCGACGTTACCTTATCACTGTGAACCAACTGTACTGCAGGAGGCTTGCAAAACGATGAGTGCTATTGAGGCGTGCCTCGAGGATGATTGGGACATTGAATCAGAAGTTGGAGATCCTGGGTAAGAGCAGTAGTATATATAACAACTTTTCTTATACTCATATTCCAAAATTTCCAAAATTTAATTTATCAGACTTAAATTCATGAGAAATATCATAGAAAATTCTTTGGTAAAGTATTGCCTTTAAATTATATATAATTAAACGCTGTATCTCTATGTAGGTGCTCAAAATAGAGACCTAAACACCTTCCTTAGTATATATTCAGCTGTAGATACATCAAATTATATAGTAGATTTTTTACGTATAAGGATG